TTTCACAGCTTCACAGCCACTTTTTACTAAATGTAAATATGCACTCCGTATTTTTTATTCCAGAGTAAGAGCAATTCATTTTAAACTGAATTGTGTTTTCTGATTTGTTAATTTGTTTTTGAATATGTCATTGTGTTTTCTGATTTGTTAATTTGTTTTTGAATATGTCATTGTGTTTTCTGACTTGTTAATTTGTTTTTGAATATGTCATTGTGTTTTCTGATTTGTTAATTTGTTTTTGAATATGTCATTGTGTTTTCTGACTTGTTAATTTGTTTTTGAATATGTCATTGTGTTTTCTGATTTGTTAATTTGTTTTTGAATATGTCATTGTGTTTTCTGACTTGTTATAATGTTTTCTGAATTGTTGTTGTGTTTTCTGAATTGTTATTTAGTTTTTTAGACTTGCATTTGCGTTTGTAATTTGTTATTTTGTTTTCAGAATTGTGATTTGTTCTGCACTTCTCGGCCACCGTACTGCACGGAGTGTTTAGCGCTCCGCGATGTTCATCTCGCCTTATTCTGGGTCTGAATAAAACATCAGATCATGCACAGACTATCCTGTCTCTTTGAATTTAAATCTATATTTATTCACACCGGCTCTTGAAAACCTCTATGCGAACACACTTGCCCGAAAAAGTGCAGGGGACGAATTTACGTGATATTAAAAGTGGAGCCCCTGCATCAGACCTACAGTGGACAAGTGTGTTATTTTTGTTCGCTGTAACTTAATGATGTTTTATGTTACGCTGAGAAATTCAGGAGTTTGTAGATTCATCATAAAGGTCTTGTCTGAACAAATTATCAAATATGTAGTAGGCTACAGAGAGTTTATGAGGACAATGATATTCAACTCACCGTTCACAGAGAGAGAAACAGAGCTTGATTGTGATGAGACTGATCTTATCTGTCCTCTACACCAGTACCAACCCTGATCAAACTCATTCGCTCCTCTGATAGTGAGAGTGTCTCTGTTTACAGTGTAACGCTCAGACGCCTGTAACATTACACTGTCTGTGTCTTTAGTCCACTCATATCTCCACTCAGGTGTCCACTCATATCTCCACTCAGGTGTCCACTCATATCTCCAGTTACTGTAAGACTCAATCACACATGTCAGAGTGACTGTCTCTCCAGTGAACACAGGACTGTCTGGAGTCACAGTCAGTGTAGATCTGGGTAAACCTGTGAAGAAAGAAGAAAATATAGTGACTCAAACACCTCTGTCCTTGGAATTTTGTAAATGTTTCACAGAACTGAACAATTCATCCATGCATACATCCAGTGAAACGACAGGCTTCTCTTTAGTGACGTATGCTGGATTTCTCCAGTTTACTCCATTTAGTCCTCTTTAACCAGGAGCTGCAGCTCTGCAGAGTTTAGCTTCATCCTTAATTAAACGGGTCATTTCCACGAAATCTGTGACTTTTCCAATTGGAATAATAATTAAAAATAATAAGTTTAATCCACATTTCTTAAATATCCATGAAATGAAGACACCTTAAAATGACAATAAATTTTATTGTGCCATCTCAGGCTATGTAATTGATTATTTTATGGTATTTTTGTCAACCGTTACCGACACAAGCGTTACTAGATACTATAGTTTAAATAGAACTATTTGATAGTTTTCACATATATGAGCAGCATTTTAGTCCCTCTTTTCACTGGGATTGTTTCAAATTTTGGATTTTTTTTTTATATATATATTTTTTATATTTGTCATTCAGATCACCAAGAACATCCTCATTTTGGAGGGTGACCACATGTCAATTAAGAAAAATATATTTTTACAAGAGAGACATTAAAAAAGGTCTTTGTCCAAAATAAAGTATAGTTTTAAAGTTACAATGGAAAAATTGCAAGACTGGGCTGAAGGTCTGCAGTCACCTTGCTGATCTCGTTTGTTATTGAATTTACATGGAGGCATTATTGACAATGAGTTATGGAAAAAAAATTAGTTTTATTGAGACCAATCATCCTATCCTGGTCATTAACAGCAACAGTAATGGTAACAATACAAATAATACTAACTAAAATGTAACTCATGCTCATATGCCACTGAATGATATAGGAATTAGCTTAAAATTACACCCAGGGTGACCTTTAACAAGGTTTGCATTTTACACAGACAGTCTTTAAAAGCAGGGTGACACCTAATCTATGTCACCCCTGTTACCCAAATGTCAAAACCTGTTACTCTGAAAAATAACAGGGATGACAGTAACAGGTTTGACCATTTCAAACTAATTTCCTAATTTCTAGCTAATAGTCAAGTTCACAAAAGCACATGTTGTACAGTTTGAAAGGATTTTACTTGTATATACTGATTATATTAAATGTAATGAAAAATTGTTTCAATTTACATTTTAAAAGTGGTAACAGTATTGACACTGCATGATGCCTCCCCCCCCCCTCAGTCAAGCCTCATAAATCATCAAAAATAGAACATTATAGAAGTGAGAGAGAAACATGCTTGTGTTTTAAGTGTAGGAATCATTGTAGAGAGATGATGTAACCTCCTAGAAGTGATGTCGCTTGAATGTACATTATTTTACAAGGGTTTTTGATGAGGGTAACAGGGCTGACATGAAATCAGTGGACACCAATAAAAATATTTAAATGTTATAGAAAAAATGCATATATATATATATATATATTTTTTTTTAATTGCTTAACAATTAAACTATATTTAAAACAATATGCAAATGTTATTTTACATCATTTTGCCTTCATTTTTCAAATTAAAAGTCGTGCTGAAAAAAAACATCTGTGCGGTACAGGCCAAAAACCTTACCCTTATCAGAATAAATGCTATTTCAATTATTTAAAATAATATTTAATTGACTTTTTTGATTTATCGTGTTTTGGACTGTTGAACAGAAACACCCGCCCACTGTAATAATAGAGCTCGGAAGTGCCAGGACAATTTTTAATATAACTCCGATTGGATTCGTCTGAAAGAAGAAAGTCATATACACCTGGCTTGCGGGTGAGTAAAACAGGCTAATTTTCACTTTTGGGTGAACTAACCCTTCAATGACATCATCTATAGCTGACCTTTCCTTAGCTTAAGATGTCTCCCAATTCTTTAGTAAAAATGGGTGTCAGCAGCTTTGTGAATAGGGCTTAAGAAGGACTCTAATTAAAGAACTTTTACAGCTATTTATGAAAACTTATGATTGTGTGTGTGTGTGTGTGTGTGTGTGTGAATACAGCCCCAGGCTTATTCAGGGCCAGTTAACAAGATAATGAGATAACAGATGAAAGTAATCAGGCAAGATGAGTCCAGGTAATGGGAAATGCAGTCCATGATAAGAAAACAAAGACGGAAGGAGGGCCCTCTTGTGGCTATCATACACACTCCAGCTGGCAGGAGTGACACTAATCAAGTCCTTCAGGCTAATTTGAGAACTACAGGTAACAGAGCTTTGTCCCCCTGGTTTAAACTAACTCTTTCTTACAATCGACTGCAAGCTCACATTCATATCTGCTTCTGTTGTTGAGTGCAGTGGTCACATCTCAGAATCACTCAACAAACACTGACAAGTGATGGACAGAACCAAGTCCTGCCTTCCTTTTTTATTTTTTGATAATCATTTAGAATACAGAAGATATAATCTGTTGCTACTTCTGTTTCCTTGTGACTTTAAAAAATGTGGATGAGAGTCCTGAGAGTTTTAAGAGACTTTAGTTAAAAAAATGCAGTTTTCATTCTCATAAATAACTGAACTCTATGTAAGTGTAACTAGCTTCCTAAAACAGTATCAAAATCACTGGATTCAAAGATTTACATCCTTTAAACATCTTGTGCACTTCTGCATTTGAACAGAACGGTGACTAGAACATGTGATAACAGCATTAACAGCAATCATAGGCTACAGTGCTTCCATGGATGGATAACTCTAGAATATCCTGCACTTAAACAACTAACTCGAAAGAAAGAAAGGGAAAAAAAAGAAAAATGCCTGGTTTATTCTTTTTTTCTTCAGATTAATGTTTTCAGTGGTGATTGAAATTTAATTGCACTATTCATAATATATTTATACTGGGCAATTTACAACATATGCCTACATGATTATTCTTTTTTTCTGAAAGAAAATGCACAGGGTTACGGTAAAAAATACAACTTTCACATGTATCTGACTGACAGATAAACTGTGTGCTGTTATTTCAGTGTTGCTGCTAATGTAATTATTTTATCAAATCATTTTCTACATACATTCAGTTCAATGAAATCAGTCAGAGCTACAATGCTAAACTTATGCACCCTGGAGCAACAAATGATGATTTAAATGAGCATTAAACAGACATGAATCTGAACACTCACCTGATACAGTCAGTGTAACAGCAGCACTGGTGTGTGATCTCTGTGAGTCTGATCTCTGTCCTCTACAGCTGTATTCACCACTGTAAGACTCATCAGCAGCTCTGAAACTGTACTTTGCTGCTGCTGTTGCATACTGATAGAAAGTGTTTCCATCTTTAAACCAGCTGTATGTCCACTGAATGTCTCCTGCTCTCTGTATGTCACATGTGAGAGTGACTGTCTCTCCGCTGAACACACGCTGATCTGGACTCACCTTCACTACAGGTTTTGGTATCGCTGTATTAATACACATATTGATTGTGAGAGTAGATATTGATCATCTACAGTATCATTGTATTAATCACTGTTATGAACTCAAAACCTCCTTGTGAGAACAACACTGCATTGAGGGCAAATAATCATCAAAGAACTACAAAACAATTCACATTTGTTAAATTTACAGCACAGTACCTTGAGTGAGTCCAGCGTGGAAGAAGGACATCAGCACTAAAAGCAGAAGAAACAGATATGATGAATTTTCGTTCATTCAACAAAATGCAAATCACCGAAACTTGTCTATTTTAGTTTATTTTACATGAACTGAAAGTGTCTTTGTATGTTTGAATAAGCAACATCAACATCACGCTCAGTGACGTCACAGGACTGATGAACTGATACGAGAGTTGATTCACTGATGGATTCACTGCTGCCCAGAGAAGCACTTTCAACCACTGAGGATCACAACATTCAGCTCATGACCATATTCTCATCAACCAATGTGATGCCAGTTTCTGTAGTGCTGTCTGTTTAGCTTTTCATTGCTCGTTTTGTTTTTATATTTGTTTTGCTGTCTTTGTATTTTTGCTTTTCTGTTTATCATATCATATTACACAAAAATTCACTTTTGTATTAAGACACTTGTGAACAGGTTACATGTAGCAATGTGGTTAACCTTTCTCACCACCGGTTATTCACAGGAACAAAACAAGCTACAAAACTCCTAAACAAATGAGGTCAAAGTGTTTGAGATGCACTCAGCTTCACTTCCTGTTTGAGGTTGGTACCATCAACTTAATTGTGACTTTACATTAGCCCCAAAAATAATTTTGATGCTTAGGGTGTTTTTACATAAAGTATATTTTAAATGAACCAAACTCAGTTCAGTTAAAGTGAACCAGAAAAGGAAACTGCTGTAGGTGACCTCAGTGCTTTCAGTGTTCACAATCCATGAAATACGTAATGTAATGCGTGTTGTAAAGATCGCGAGTAAAAACAAAAGAAAAAGAAAAGCTTACAGCTGCATGAGTCGTGACTGTCACGTTAGCCTGATGGGACCAAACTCCCTTTGTGGTTTTAAAACGTAAGACAGTACCCAGATTTGAAGACTACAGTAAGATTTAACTTCTACTGTTAATAAGATTTTGGTAGGCTACTATTAGATGGATAGCCTAAATGTCCTAATTCAGATGGGCTACCTGTTTTTTTTTTATGGTATATCAAAAAGTGTATATATTTTTTAATGTGATTGTTGGTACATTTTACCAGTTTTTACCATACTTTCAAAACAAAATTAAAATAGGAAAAATATGCAATATGAAAATAATTGAAGACAAAATGTATTTTACTGAGAAAAAACAAGAGTTGGTTTTTAAAAAGCCTTTTTCCAAAAGGTACATCTGGAAAAAGGGGGGTCGTCTTATAATCAGGGTCGTCTTATATTCGGGCCAATACGGTAATCATATCATATTACACAAAAATTCACTTTTGTATTAAGACACTTGTGAACAGGTTACATGTAGCAATGTGGTTAACCTTTCTCACCACCGGTTATTCACAGGAACAAAACAAGCTACAAAACTCCTAAACAAATGAGGTCAAAGTGTTTGAGATGCACTCAGCTTCACTTCCTGTTTGAGGTTGGTACCATCAACTTAATTGTGACTTTACATTAGCCCCAAAAATAATTTTGATGCTTAGGGTGTTTTTACATAAAGTATATTTTAAATGAACCAAACTCAGTTCAGTTAAAGTGAACCAGAAAAGGAAACTGCTGTAGGTGACCTCAGTGCTTTCAGTGTTCACAATGCAAACAGGCTGATATAACATAAACATATTTGCAGTATATCAAAACAAGTGGCCTTTATTTTAATGAAATATAGCACAAGCATCAACACAAAAAAAACATTTCACAAATAAGTGAAAAAGTGTCTCAGAAAACAGAAGTTAGTTCTAAGAAAGCTTGAGCATCATTTGCTGGCACTTGGTTGGACATGTTGTGTCTAATGCAATGGAATTCATACATTTTTAAAGGAATAGTTCACCCAAAAATGAAAATTCTGTCATTAATTACTCATCCTACACTCTTAAAAATAAAGGTGCTTCACGATGCCGTAGTATAACCTTTTTGTCTAAATGGTTCCATAAAGAACCTTTAACATCTGAAGAACCTTTCTGTTTCACAAAAGGTTCTTTGTGGCGAAAGAAGGTTCTTCAGATTATAAAAAGGTAAGAAAGAGACGGTTCTTTAAAGAATCTTTGACTGAATGGTTCTTTGTGGAACCAAAAATGGTTCTGGAAGCACCTTTATTTTTAAGAGTGTAATGTTGTTCTAAACCAGACCTTTTCTAGACCTTCGTTCATCTTCGGAACACAAATTAAGATATTGTTGTTGAAATCCAAGAGCCGAGACCCTTCATAGACAGCAACGAAACTAACACGTTCAAGGCCCAGAAATGTTTATGTGTATGAATACTGTTTTATGAAGCTACAATGTGCATCTTCTTCTGCTCGTAAAGAAGGTGCAGCTCATGCAGGTTCTACATCAGAACGCCGGCTCCTGCTTTAGAAGCATCACATGCATGCGTTGTGGTACTCTCATGAATGTGCATTAAAGACTGACACAGAAGAGAAGAAATGGTTAAATAAAGTTATTTTCATTTTCTTTGCACAAAAATGTATCCTCCTAGCTTCATAAAATGACGGTTGAGTATTTTAATGATGCCCTTACTACGTTTCTAGGCCTTGAATGTTTCAGTTCCCTTGCTGTGTATTGAGGGTCAGAAACCTCTCGGATTTAATCAAAAATATCTTAATTTGTGTTCCGAAGATGAACGAATGCTTTATGGGTTTGGAACGACATGAGGGTGAGTAATTAATCACAGAATTTTCATTTTTGGGTGAACTATCCCTTTAAGTGTGACTTAGCTGTCCAAATACTTTAACATATACTTTAACTTGTCATCACATTGAATCTGAACAATAAAGAAGGCAATTTGCAGTCGGCGCTGATAGCCTTGTGGGCAGTGTGCCAACATACAGCACCATTATTGTGCTAATCCCGACACGAGGACCTTTTCCGATCCACCTCCACCCCCACACACACACACACTTCTCTTCCTGTCAATTATTCCCATCACAAACCCTCCAACACACAGCGCAACCTGTTGAAATTTATCTTCAACTGAATACAACATATCAGAAACAGAAAACAGAAGAAAGTGTAGAAGGCAGCTAAACTCAGTTCCTGGAGTTCTGCAGCTCTGCATAGAATATAGAATATAGCCCAGGTATAGAATGTATTAAAATACTTACAGAGAATGAGAGGCAGCGTACCAGACCCCATACTGACACATTAATAAAAATAACTGCTGTCCGGTGTCATCTAAAACAGACACTTCCTGTTTAAACAGTCATTTCACACTTCAAGAAGAGATGAGGGAGGAGACAAAACTCTTTACAGAAATAAACGAAGAAATAGGAAGAAAAAGAGATTCATTCTAAGATATTTAGCTTATTTTCTTAGTGCATGCAAGTTGTTGGAGATCTGTTTCTCTATTTGAAAATAAGTTATTTCAGAATTGTTCTGAAACTTATTTTGTTCAATCACACACACAGCTGCACACATTAAGATTGCAGGCCTTTACATGTAATTTGAGTTATGCTTTCAGCTGTACTTTGCAGCTGAAGTGCGGTTCATTCTGGTGAGATTGTGAGGAGCTCTCTGGTCTCGGTGTGTCGTCCAAAAGCCTTGCCTTCAACATAGACGACAGTAGCCAGCTGCAGTCAAGACAAGTGGAAAAGAGCAGCAGAGAATGAAGCAGAAGTAAAACCAACAACTATTAGCTCAACGCCACCACTCGCTTAACACTTTTGTTAGGCCTCTTAAAGGTCAAACTGAAACCTGACATTTCACCCAAATTTGAAAAATTCTGTCATTAATTACTCACTCTCATGTCGTTCTAAACCCATAAGACCTTTGTTCATCTTCGGAACACAAAGTAAGATATTCTTGATGAAATCCGAGAGCTTTCTGACCCTCCAAAGACAGCAAGGGAACTGAAACGTTCAAGGCTCAGAAATGTAGAAAGGACATCGTTAAAAGTGATTCAGCCGTAATTTTATAACGCTACAAGAACACTTTTGGTTTACGAGCAGAGTAATGCAAGTCAAGAACTGACATGGAAGAGAAGAATTGTTGGGTAATGTCATTATTTTTGTTTTCTTTGCGTACAAAAAGTATTCTCATAGCTTCTCATAGCTTGACAGCAGATATACAGCGAAACAGAAGAGAGATAAAACTCCTCACACTAGTGCAAGAGCAGAAGCGTTTCATCACCCAGCACAGCACTTCCTGAGAAGATGAAGTGAAGCATTTAGTGACGTGTTGATGCAGATGAGTATATTGCTGACCTACAGGAAAATAATGACAATTCTGTGAGGTTTCAGTTCCTTTTGAAGCTCACAAACTGACACAATGTTCAGGCCATTTCACAATAGTCAGTGTTGCAATGCTGGTGGATTTTGAATATAATTAGCAGAGTATAATTAACAAATATTTTTGTGAAGATGAGAGTAACACTGCAGGGCTCCGGACTATTCAGCTTTCACTCATGAAATCTGTTGCTGAAGTTTGAAATAAGAAATAAATAAATATTAACAAAGTAAGATGCAGTGTTAAACTGTATAATGTGAATAATATCTTGCTCAAAACATCCTCAGGATGTTTCCGCTGTCCTCCATCCTTTGTGGAGCAATTAATGGACCCTATTCACATTTCCAGGATTGAAAAGTGGAAGTTAACTATAACAGGATTTGTACATGAGAGACCTCAAATATAATTTTTGTGTTCCCACAAAATCTTTGGACTTCCCGATGTAGCATCTTCTCTCAAAATCAAAATGTAACATTTTATTTCAGTGCTAAAAGACTAAAAATGTAAGTAAATCAGACATCTGCCCTTTGCTGGCTGCTTATAGACCCTGAGGATTGCTTTGTAAAGTTGTGATAACATCCATACTCACAATAGTGATGTCTGTTTTGTAATTATTTTCTTTATTAATTTTTAAAATGAAACAGAAAAAAATTGGTCTAAATGAGTCTATTCCACCAAGCTACTGTTATAAGCATGAAGTGTTCGGTGAATGTTGATGCTTTAATAACAAATATTTATCGGGAGCGTGTAACGTAACTAGTAATGTAGCTACTTACTAATTACTTTTTGAAATAAAGTGATCAAAACAGTAACATGATTACTTTTAAAAGGAGTAATCAGTAATCAATCATTTGATTACATTTTCAGAGTAACTTGCCCAACACTGTAAACAAATAACCCGATGCCACCCGATCTAAATATTCCCTCACAGTTTAATAGTAATTATACTGTCCTCACGATGCGTTGCTCTGCACGGCTAGACAGTCAGCTAACATGAGGGTTGAAGCTCCAACAATGACTCAAGGTGTAAAGTTTCCTGGGTTTAATTGAAATGTCATTATTTTCCCCATTTTATACTCCCAAACTGAGTATAAAACTGAAAATACAGAACAAAATAGACATATCAATATACAAATACACTAATAAAAAGCTAAACACAAAACATAAACTACTGGCAGGTAAGTTATACATTTCTGAAAGCAACAATAACACTTTCTTAATATGAAAACAATATCTTTCAGTCACTTACAGACAAATAGTGTCCCAGGAACAGCGTAAAGAGAGAACTTAGAAGCACCATCTATCAAGCTGTGTGCTTCTTCTTCTTCTTCTTCTTTTCTTTTTAATGGCGGTTGGCAAACCCACTTAAAAGGTGCATTTCCGGCACCTACTGGACTGGAGTGTGGAGCATGACGTATATTGGTGACAGCATATATATAAAAAAAAATAAAAAAAATTCTAATGACCTTTAGTTTGACCAAAGGAGTATTACACAAGGATACAATAATTTTATATACTTCATTATGTGATCTTCAAATTCTATTTATTAAACCTACCCATTCTACCCCTGCTAAACATCTTAATATGTTTATTCCTTTTTTGCATTTATCAGTTATATTTTGTATTTGTATTGCAAAGGTCAGTTTTGTATCCATCCATACTCCTAAAAATCTGATATTTGATACTTGTTCCAATACTTGTCCATAAAGATGAATTCTGGCTATGGGAGTTACTTTCTTTTTTGAGAAGCAAATGACTTTTGTTTTTGACACTGGCAATCGAAAACCCCATTTCCTTGCCCATCTTTCTACTACATCTACTGCCGTCTGCATGCTTTTTACTACATATGAAACATTCCGTCCTTTCTTCCATAATGTTCCATTGTCAGCATACAAAGATTTTCCTATTCCCGGTCCAATTTCACAGAATATATCATTAATCATTATATTGAAAAATATTGGGCTGCAGACACTCCCTTGAGGTGTTCCATTTTCTATTAAATAGCATTTTGAAAAAGAAGAGCCTACTCTTACTTGTATAGTTCGGTCAGATAAAAAACTCATTATCCAATTATACATTCTTCCTTTAATGCCCAATCTGTCTAGTTTAATTAAAAGACCTTCTTTCCAAAGCATGTCGTATGCCTTTTCAAGCTGTGTGCTCTGGCTACTCCTTGCTTTTAACTAAATAAAATGGCTGAACAGCCACTAGATGTCAGTGTTACTCAAACAATAACTTCAAAATAAAAGTCCTGATAGTCAAAGAAGGCAGCACACTCCCCATCTGGCACTATCACTTAATGCCACAACTGATCCTTAATATTAGGAACACAGTCTTAAGCAGTCTTTTCTTGTGACAGAAGAACTATGATTTCTGTTACTGGCCTCAATACGTTTTTAACAGTTCCTTGTTTTGCAACTTTCACTTCCACCTTGCGTACCTTTGCATCTCGACTTGGGAAAGGGTTAACAATAAGTCCCATAGGCCATTCATTTCTCTGTACCTGGCTGTCTTTGAGCAATACTACATCTCCACATTTTATGTTGGGTCTGTTCTCTGTCCACTTTCTGCGGCTTTGTAAAGAGGACAAATACTCTCCCCGCCATCACTTCCAAAACGTATCTGACAAGCATTGGACTTGTTCCACTGTTTCTCATGCAGGTGCGACGCATCAAAGTTTCCAGAAGGGGGTGACAAGTAGGGATGGGCGATATGGGCTTAAAAATATATCACGATAATTTCTGATATTTATTGCGATAACGATATCAATGACGATAATTTAGGGAATCCTGTTTCTTTAGAGCAGTGGTCACCAAC